CGACACACTCTGATTACCTAATGCCGGAGAGTATTAGGTACAGGTTGGCGAGACCCAAGGCTTGAGACCCCAGAGTGTGCATTGGAGAAATGCTGGAGTTCAACCAACTAAAATCACATACTCCATCCAGTCTTTTCGTGCCAAAGCAAGGAAATGTGGCAATTTTAAAGTTGGGAACCACTAAGTTCTATGTTTACAGTCAATGCGCCCATCAGCAAGGAAAGGTAAAGTTACACTGTTAGTGATGTGCAGGACTTTCAGTGAAAATGTGGTTGGCACAATGCTTTTCAAAAAAATGGGTCGGGGTGGGGCGGGGGGTAAACTTGTGATATTTCAGAACATGAAATGTCACCTATTTATTCCTGTAGTTTCTTTTCAGTTTACAAACTCTGGCAGCCTGCAGCACCCCATTCACAAATTAAATCAGAGAAAGGAGCCTTGCTTTTTCAATCAGCTCTTTTCAATTCTTCAAAATATTCACCAGCAATTGAATCTGAAGCGGAGCATTTACATATGAATTTCAGTTACAAAGTGTGACTGCCCCCGTTTCACAGGAGTGGTAATTCTCTACAACTTATGAGAAAACAACTTTTATAATAAATACAAAACTTATGATAAATATTGTTTTAAAACCAGATACCAAGCCTCCCTACAAACAATATTAAATTCAACAAAATACATGTGTATTTTATTCAGTTTCATGTTTCACAGAACTTTAATACAATGTTAACAGGGAGAAGGAAATCATACAATTAAACCTACACAATCACCTTTATCTTATAAAAAGAATTATCTTCTGAGCCCACGCCAGAACATCATTCATAGCAATGTAGCATAATGGAGACATATAAGCACTTGTAATTCTGTTTCTGTAATATTGCCTAGAAAAGGCTCAGCAGGATATTGAGTGAAACATCAACAAAGGCAGAGTTTATTAATCTAACTGGGTAGTATGTCATTTATTTTACTGCGTTTAAGAATAGGACTCATGCATGCCAAAGAAAAGGTTATAAACCTATATTTAGATCTAAGCAAAATGCACCCTGGATACCATTAACCTATATTTTAGTTTGCACTATCATTTTCTTTTGCTCTGTTTGTTAAATCAATACCATTTTACAGATGACTGCAATGCATGCCTAAAATAGGTGTCATTCGAAGCAATTCTAGTCCATTCGAGTCTTTATTCCTTTGCTCTTATTTTTCGCTCATCTCCCACAATAGATTCACATCAAGAGGACGGGAGCTCGGCGGTCTTCCCCCACCCGCAAGGGGCATCAGTTCAGCTTACCTTAGAGTGCAGAAGAAGTGCCTTCAGTGTAGTAAGCTAGTCTGTGACACTTTTCCACTTCCCCTCAGCCTCAATACATAGGTAGAATACGTTTATTGCTATTTGAATCAGCATTAGCTGAGATATTAAGACTGACCTGCAGCAGCACAGAGTAATATGTTTATACCCAATTAAAAGTTCCGCAATATCTCGAGCTGCCAGTGCTGTGAAATATACCCCATTTCCAGGAAATTTGATTGAACCGGCAGGAATATGTAAACTGCACTTAACTTTGCGCATTGTGCATTTATTTCAAATGCTACTTTTGAGAGCTTTAATTTCAGACCAATAGACTTTCCCTGATCTTTGCAAAGGGATAAAAGCTCCCACCTGACCAGTGAACATGAAAATTATTAATGATCTGTGTGCCTAGCTGAACGATCTGTCTGTACTCAACAAACGGGTACCACCAGAAGCAGCGGAAACTCTTTCCCATCCTGCCACCAGCACTGCAAGGAGAACAAACCATGAAAGCAGTACAGTCTGTGCTGGCAGGCCAGGCTGAAATAGCCACATAATAATAATAATAATAATAATAATAATAATAATAATAATATTAATAATAATAATAATAATAATAATAATAATCCTTGCATTTGATATAGCGCTTTTCACGTCGGGAGGACGTCCCAAAGCGCTTCACAGAACATATTATAAAGTGAATTGACTGTATATTTGTAGGCAAACGCGGCAGCCAATTGCGCACAGCAATGTCCCACAAACAGTCGTAGATTGAAAATGACCAATTTATTATTGTTTTGGGTTTTGGAGGGATTATTATTAGGCGTGTGGAGTAAGGAAACTGCCCAAGGTTTCGCCCTGCCTGGAATTGAACTCAGGTCTCTCGCTTGCAAAGCGAGTGCTCTAACCGCTGAGCTACAGGACTCCACATATTTCCCATACTATCTTGGAAATTACCCCGATCATCTTATCCTCTCTTCACCCTCTTCATCTCCCACTCCCAGTTTGAGTGCCCAGCCAGAAATGTGAAGTGCTTTGAGATATCCTCCTGAAGTGAAAGGCGCAAATTATAAGTGAGCAACGAATCCTTGTAATGCTCACTCATGCAAGAGAAATCTTGGCAGATGTCTTAAGGAAGAAAGGATCAACGGCTACAGACTGCTGATCCTCTGTATTAACGGGGTACAAGGGTACAATTAAACAATACTCTCATATTGGTGGTGGCTCAGCCCTTTCCTTCACAAGGCAGGAATAATTGTCCAGTTGCATGGAAAGTGGAGTGGGGTGTTCTCCTGGGAGCAGATCTCATGGACTACTAGACTTATTTCACTCGTTGTCTATGCAGATAAATTTACAGATGATATAAAGTTAGGAGGGAACTGTTGAATCAGGAAAGTGAGCAAAGATCTTACAAAGAGAGTTGAATATGGCTTGTACATGGCCTAATAATTTGCAAATGAAGTTCAATATAAATAAATTCAAAATACCGCATATAAGAAATCACTTGTAGGTGTATCACAAGAGAGGATAAGAATTACAGGAAGCACATGTACTTCATGGATAGGGTCGAACATGCAAGTAGAAGCTGACAGAAACCAAGGGGAGTTGGTTGATTCATCGCTCACTATATCAAAACAGTGTGAGGCACCAATAAACAAAGCAAACGGGATTCTGGGCTATATCGCTGAATCAGCTGAGTTCAGATCCCCAGACATCATACTCTGGCTGTATAGTGTTCTGGTCAGACCACACTTGGGATACTGCGTACAGGTCTGGGCACCACAACATATGGGGGCTATCCAGCGCCTAGAGGCAGTACAGAAGAGAGCAATGAAGATGATCTTCAATGTTAGAAGAATCAGCTATGAGCAATGATAAGACAGGCTAGTGCTGTTCAGCCTTGTTGATAGATATCTCAGGATGGACCTGATAAAGAAATACACAATCTAAATGGTATTGAGAAAGTAAACTCAGAAAAATACAGTGTGATCAGGCATGTTTCTGCAAACAGACTGTGAAACTACCTGAGCGAGTAGTTAAATGGACTGGAACAAGTTTCCAGGAGGGTTGATCAAAGGCAATTCATTTAAGAAATACCTTCATGCTATGATGGGAAGATGGCCAGGTGGATATTCTGGAAAAATAAGATCCAAAAGAACAACACATTACATTTCTATAGCACCTTTCATATCGGGAGGACGCCCCAAAGCCTTGGAAACAAAAGAGCCAAAGGACCTTCTTTACCATAACCTCTCTTGTGATGCACCTACAAGTTACATGCCTGCTTGGAGAACAGGCTAACTGGTCTGAATGGCCTCCTTCTGCTCCTAGGTCACAATATAAATTGAGAAATGGCTGCAGAGCAGCTCTACTGAACCACTAGGCTGGCCCATGAGATGCCCATGCTCAATCTCAGTTTGGCTTGGATACTCTTAAGCATGGTGATGGGTTCCCGCATGCGTCAGCTCCAAAAATACAACGCTGTCGGGGCGAATTGACGTGTAACATGAATGTTATTTTATTCTGGGCCTGACAACTTCTCACTTTGCAACTCGCTAAAATCTCGTGCTGCACTTGTCTTTTGTTGTTCCACCAATACTTAAAGGGAGGTCCACAATTTTTATTTTCATAAGATCCTTCTAGAATACTCAGCCTATTGGCCGCCCATCAAAGCATCAAACTATTTTAAAATAAGTCCAGTATCCTGGCCTATGCCACCTTCCTGGCTACCTGTTCCAGGCATTAATTACCCTCTCATTTATACTGTGCTATAACCTAGTGGCACACAATGCACCAAAAGCCTACTCAACACTTCCACACAGAGCAAAACCCTGCTGAACACAACCACTGTATGAGGCAATGGAAGCTTAGCAAAGTTATAAACAGCTCTTGCTAATTTGGCAGCTGAAATAACATTGAAAGACAATAAAGTATCCAGAGGTAAATGGAATCCCAGGAGCTTGTACAGCATCAAGCTTGCCAGTGACAAAGATTATATAAAAAAGTCTTCATCCTCAGCTAGAATACTCAAAACTGTTTACATTTACAATTGGAACCAAAAAATATATCTTTTAAAAAAAGCAAATTAGGACAGTGTTAATGAGCAAATCTCAAAGCACCACTGTATAATTTACTTATGATTATTCAAATAAAATCACTTGAGTATTATCTCCATTGAAAGGTTGTAAATTTTGACTGTTTAATATTCATCATTCAGATTCTTTAAATACATCCTTTAATATGTGATCAGTGGTACCTTGTGATGCTGAGGCCCATAGCGTTTGAACTATAAACAAGAACAAAAATGAATGCACAGTATAATGAGCAGGATTATTTTGTTTTCTATAGATGTTTTTTGACACAAAACTTTATTTATATGGACCTCTACACATTTCAATGCAAGAATTTAACACTCGTGCAATGGTGGGGGGAGAAAGAATACAGCACTATAAATAGTCCCCACAAAATAATTACATTTTAACATTGTAAGTACCCAAGAGGTTAAAAGCCTAGAGTCCTTCAGGTGACAGACAGTGTGTTCAGGCATGTTTCTGCAAACAGACTGTGAAACTACCTCAATTTAATTACAATTAGATGAAGCGTTCTGACTGCCCTGATGCAGAGCTGAGTAATCGTTTTAGCTCTGACAGCTCGAAGATGCACTACATCACTGGGACTATGCTACTCACCAAAACCAGCCTTTATTCCACTCTGGGGCCGAGTGCCCTCAGCATCTCTCGCGGAATTTCTGCTGCTCTACCCATTTTACCTGTAGTGATAAACAAGAGCAAAAGATTAAAAGGTGAATACTGTATTAATAAAGGGTCACTTAACAGAACATTTCCCTGGTGCCTGAACATGCCTGGTAAAGTGATATAAAAGACAATGCTCAGTCTTGTGTGAGGTGACTTAACATTGCTTCCATGTTGATGGCATCAGGACCACTTGAGCAATCTACCATAGCATTTTATAGAAATTGAAACTATTGGTGGGGAACCCAGTTGTGAAAATACTTGCCCTGAATTAATAATAATCCTTGCATTTGTGAAGCGCCTTTAACATCGGGTGGACTTTTCAAAGTGCTTCACAGGATTTTACTGTAAAGTGAAGTGACTGTGTGTTTTGTAGATGAAAACAACAGCCAATTTGCAAACAGCAATGTCCCACTAACAGCTATGAAAGGAATGACAAATCCCCTTATTCATGGGATTGTTGGCCAGGACATCGGAACAAACCTTGTTCTTGTTTCAAGTAGTGCCAAAGGAACTTTAACTTCCTCCTAAGCAGGCAGATGGAACCTCAGTTTCACACTTTATCCGAAGGACGGCACCTTTCACAATTCAGCACTCCCCAACACTGCACTGGAGTGTCAGTCTAGACTAAATGAGTTCAAAGTCCCAATGTGAGGTTTGAACCCCCAACCTTCTGACTCAGAGGTGAGAGTGCAACCAACTGAGCCAGGCTGAATTATAATACATACAGGACAAAAAATTCTAATAATGCTATTTCAGTGTTTTGTTTGGCATTTTACTGAAAGGCCAAGAGTTTTTCAATGTCAAAACTAATGACTGAGCTGCAAGACATATTGTGGGACAAGTCATTTTTAAGTTTTTCTATTTAAGCTCCGTGACATTAAATCTCACCAAGACCATAGAAAGAGACACCAGACTTCTTAATACCACACAGCATTTTAGTGACTCCTTTATTGAAAGAATGAATCTTCCTTAGCATAAATATTCTCTGCAAATCTTATAGAGTTTCAAATGATAGAGATTCTGAGTTAAATAATGCATGAAAGATAAATAGATAGAAGTGAAAGGAAGAAAAAAAATCTGGAAGTGTTAAATGCAGTTGGTGTTTGCTACTTTTAATAGCTGAGAGATAATAGGTGTCAGCCTGGCTAAGTTAGTAGCACTCTAGACTCTGACATGAAAGGCACTACATCAATGTAAAATTGTTGTTATGGTTAACTTGTGAGCTCAAGCCCCACATCAGGACTTTGAGCTCATAATCTAGACCGACACTCTAATGCAGCCCTACACTGACTGAGGTGTCGTCCTTCAGATGAGGAATTAAACCAAGGTCCCACATGCCTGTTCAGGTGGATGTTAAAGATCCCACAACAAGAATTATTTATTTATAAATGATTATTCTGCTAAAGTTATTTTAATTCGGCAACAACTTCCATTAAGATAACATCAATAATATAAACAGATATCTCAAAACATGTGAGAATGGGACACTAAAGAAGACATAAGATAAATTTTGGGATGACTGCCTATGCACATTCTGAGAGGTGAGTTTATAAGAGACCTGAAAGCAGGGAGCGAAGTGATTTCGGATGAGAGCTCCAGCTGATAGGTGGCTGAAGGCTCAGTCACCAATAGTAGAGATAATGGGAGATGAGGAGCAAATAATATTATAATAACAATAATCCTTGCATTTAATATAGCACCTTATCAGGTCATCGAAACATCTCAAAGCACTTCACAGGATTTTCAATATAAGTTGCATTGACTATAGGCAATAGCCAAAAGTGACAACCAATTTGCACATAACAATGTCCTACAATAAGTGATTGATCAACTTTATTTGTAGAGTCCTGTAGTGTATTGGTTAGAGCACTCACGAGTGAACCTGGGTTCATTTCCTGGGCAAGGCGAAACATTAGACAAGTTTCCTTACTCCACACCCCTCTGCTTACCTAGCAGTGAGTAGGAACCCAGTTGTTAGTCAATTGGCAAATCGATTCTCTGGGAGTAATAATCCCTTCACAAAATAAATAAAATAATAATAATTTGGTCATGCAATCCATGACTGTTTGTGGGACGCAGCTGTGCACAAATGGCTGCCGCTGTTTACCGACAGTATATACAGCCAATTCACTTTACACTATTTACTGTGCTCCGGGACACTATCTACATGAAGGGCACTATATAAATGCAAGTTGCCGTACTGCGAAGCACTTTGAGACATCCTCTCGTTAAAAACGTCCTCTCATTAAATCAAATGCAAGGATTGTTATTATTGTTATTATTATTGGCCGGAACACTGGGAGAAAGTCCTTTCTCTTTTTCAAATAGTGACATGAGCATAGTCAGTCAAAGAACAGAAAGCATAAGATGGGACAGCAGGCTGGAGAAGATTACACAGACAGGTTGGAGCAAAGCCTTAATTGCATTTCACAAAAAATAAAATAAATAATACAATAATAATCCTTGCATTTGATATATGAGATGTCTCAAAGCGCTTCACAGAATATACTGTAAAGTGAATTGAACGTATATTTTGTGGGCAAAACGCAGCAGCCAATTGCGCACAGCAGTGTCCCACAAAATGAGGATATTGAAATCAATTTGGGTACTGAATGCCAACAGGGTAAGGAATGGAGTGGAACTTGGCAAGAATGGGGGTGATCAGAATACATACAAGGTCAACTTGAAAGACTGTATGTGAAAGCTCAAAACAAGTAATGTTGAACTGGATTACAGAATCAAGCATGGATGATGTCTATTTCCACTCCCACCCCCCCCGCAAAAAAAAGGGGTGAGAAGGTAGAGAGAGAGACTAACAACAACAACTTGCATTTGTATAGCACCCCGCATGCAGGGTAGCATCCCAGAGTGCTTAATGATAACTTATTAACAATAATCATGTCACAAGCAAGTGATCTAATGTAGCTTCTGTGGCATTTATTACCCCACTGGATTGAATATTTGTGAAACAATGCTTTACTAAAATGAATTTCAGAATATTACAGAATAAAAACCCCCCTTCAAATAAGTAGTCAACCAATAATTCAAAATAAATATATTTCAAAATAAGGTTAAAGTACAATTAACCAGAGATTCTTTAGCGTTTTGCAGTTTTGTTTGTTCCAATGCTCCCAATGGCAGAAGTGCCTGGACCACATTACCAAGCCTGACAGTGAGAGGGAGGTGAATTAACATCAGCAGATAAATCATTAACTAATCCTGTCATTTCAATTCTAAGAACGCTGTTCCTGAATATTTGGTCAGCTTATTTTCAATTGTGCCATTGTTCACAATCTCCTTTTTCTCCCTTTCTGCCAGTCCTTCAAACACAGATTGAAATGCTTACTGCTGGGACTCTCTTCTCACTCCAAGATGCAAGTATTGTAACTCGTGGAATGACTCCACCAACCCAGACTAGTAGATATAAAATCAGTAAATGGAACATGGGATTAAATAGCAACAATAATTCTTGCATTTGATATAGCACCTTATCACGTCTTCGAGACATGTTTTGCATTTAAGAGTTATTCAGCCTGTCTCTGAGTCAGAAGGTTATGGGTTCAAGCCAATATGGGTGCCCCAATTCAGTCCGAGGGATGTGCTACATTGTTAATGGTGCCACCTATCAGTTGAGGTGTTAAACCAAGAAGCCATCTGTCTGTTCAGGTGAACATTAAAAATCCTATTGTACTATATAAAAATAAATAGGAATTTATTGACTAACAATCCCCCTCACTTCCTAGTTGCTTGTGGGACATTGCTGTATGCAAAACTGGCTCCTGCACTGACCAAGAAAATACATATTCACTAGATTCTACAGTATATCTGAAGAGCTTTGAGACGCCCTCTCAATGTGAAAAGGTGCTAAATCTAATGTAAGCATTATTATTATCAAGAATAAAAGTCTCCAGGTGAGAGACATTAGTCAAGGTACTTAACCACAAAGCATTCCTCCTTTTAGGAGATAATACTTTTGCTTCAATTTGAATAATGGTTCTCACCTGGAACCTATCTGGTACTACACGAATGGAATAAATCAACAAGAAAGAACATCTTTGTTAACATCAGCTGAACTGGGGTCCAATTTGCTCTTCTTTCAGTGAATATTTGTGCTCTTCAAGTTGAAGGAACACTTTCCCAATACAAACGCACTCCACTCCACATTCCTTCAGTAACAAGCTCAATGCTTTATAACAGGTGAAGGCTCACAGTGACTCTTGCTGGTAAAGGAAATGCATCATGTCCACCACTCTGCTCCACTCCAACACATCTAGTGGCAGATTGTATCAGAGAACCATTGAAGCTGTTCTACTGACAGCATTGCCCAATGAAACCAAAGAAGAACAGGCTGGCTAGAGATATAGCCTGGGTCAAACATTGTAATTTACATCATTGATATTTAGTACCTAATTTTGATTTTAATTTAGTACCTAACCTCAATGTGCCTTAACCCAATCTTAGACTGAATCAATTGTTTCACTTCTCACATGCTCAATGTCCTTACTGGCTACACCACTTGGAAGACCTCCCTACTCAATATTATTTAAAAGCGCAATGTCACGGTTCCATCTCAAAATATTGAAGGAAGTTCCTGGCAGATCCACAGTTCTCCAGGGCACTGCTGGTGATAGTCCAGCCAGCCTACTCATCGGCAGGACTTGCAGGGGTAAATCAGTCGCTTTGAGCAGGGACTCTTCCCACTCAACTCCCGTTTACCCTGTAAGTCAAAGCCTTAATGGGTGGGGTGGTCCTAGTGAGATAAGCAGAATGAAATCTTGCCATTAGGATCCCCAAGCCTTGGTTCTTGTCAACCTAAGCCTAATACTCTCTGGTATTAGGTAAGCAGGATTGTGGAGTCCTGTAGCTCAGTGGTTAGAGCACTCACCTCCCAAGCGAGAGACCTGGATTCAATTCCCGGCACGGCGAAACCTTGGGCAAGTTTCCTTACTCCACACACCTGATAATAATCCCTCAAGAAAACAAAAACAAATACAAAATTGGTCATTTCAATCCA